TAATCGTTTGGTCTAAAAATAGTAATAATGTTATCTTTTAAAAAATAAAATAAAAAACAATGTTGTTACTACTCATATGTAAAAATTATTTCGTTTGGCATATCATGATCAGAAGTATTAAATATTGACCCTTTAATCTGTACAATTTTAAAACCATGACCGTTTCAATAGTATCACTTTCTAACTCCGGATAAAAGTTTAGTACTACTGATTTTATGTATCCTATTGTTAGTATTATTATTCTAATATTTTTAATCATTTTTTTTTTTAAAAAAAAAGGAAAACATAGATCATAAAAGACAAATTAGCATACTTTGATAATGCAAAAGCATGCATGTAATGCATGCATACAAAATCAATTACCAATGCACTAAAGTCACGGCTCCCCCCAACTTGTATTATTTTTATTTTTTATTTTTGTTTTGTTTTGTTTTGTTTTTGTTTAACTTATTTCATTGTAACATGTTTTAATCCCATCATTTTGCTTTGTTAATAACGTACTACTATTCCATTTTTCATCTTCTTCCTTCCTCACCAAAACACCATTACAGCTATATCTTTATGACTTACTTCTTTTCTCTGTTTCATACACTCAGAAATAACAAGTGTAAGTATGCATGTTATTTTTCTTCCGGGTTATTGCAATGAAGACAATATTTGACAGTGAAAGAGTGGCTCTAAGCAAATATACCTCTGCTATTATCACTCATTTGATATGTCAAATCCAGCCATGATTGTAATTTAGCAACGAGAATTATAAAATGGTGTGATATGACAATACGTTGTATCACTGAGCTGTGTTTCTTCCCAAACGGTAAGATGATATGACTATCCACAATCAATGGCAAACAACATTTTTCTCCTTGTTATTTTTTGATAAGTGGGTTTTGTAATAGTCTTATTTTTCTATGGTAAGTTTTATATACGAAGAGTAAGTGCTCTCTTCAAAGGAAAGTAGTACCAATTAACAATTGTATTAAAATTATATTAGTACTTTTAATTATTTTTAGTCATTAAAAATACTGTCATTTATTCAATCAAATTAGTAATTAAGTTTTGCATGAAGTAGTAGGCTAATTCTATTTGTCCTCTACCTCATTAAGACGAATTTTGGTTATAATTTCTACCTAAATCTTGTATTCGTATGTATTTATTTCGTACAACAATGTATTCTTTGTATTTTGTATTTTAGCTCCCATTTGCTCCGATATATATACCACCCACTCTTCACGAGAAGGGGCGCGAAAAAAAAGAGATCGAAGGGAACAGCTAAAAAAAGAACTCAGAAAAGAAGTCCAAATTATTTCGGCACTATAATTAGATATATATATTTAAAAAAATAATAAAAAAATTTTATTTTCAGTAAAAATAAGAGAATATATATATATATATATATATATATATATATATATATATATATATGTATAAATATAAAAATATATATATTTATGTATATATATATATATATATATAAATATATATATATATATATATATATATATTGTAGAAAGACTTGGCCTCAAATTAACTCAAGATAGCTACTCAAAGTCAAAGGTAATACCTTATTTCTTTTTATTTGTGATTTCATATTATTTTTTACATAGCTTTACTAAATTTTCTACTTTTGTGTTTTCCATAACCCCCTAGGGCACTATACGTGCCGGTTTCCTAATCTGAAAACCAAATAGAATTTGACCGTCTGCGAGCGAGTTTGAGCGTGAGTACACGTGGTTTGTTTGATTTTTTTTTTCTTGTATGTATCATCATTACGTAGAGTATGAAATGGAAGTAATGATAATTGTACAAAATGCATAAGGAAACTCTAAAGAATGAATGATGGAATTCTAGCAAAATACCATAATCGACCACTTTTTTTATGTAAAAAATCGTTTACATAATAAAATTAAGAAATAAAATTTTCACAGTAATCTTTTGTATTTAGGAGTGTATGAGACTTGGAATTTTATAAAAATAAATTTTAACCTATCCATAAAAAATCAGACATTAAGGCTTAGTAACACCACAAATTTCTTACTACAGGTCTGTCCATTTTCCAATTTTGACCAACATTTTTTTTAATAATAAAATTTGAATTGACTATCTAGAAAGTAGATTCCTTAAGCTTTGTAAATTGGGGTCACACGTTCTCATAGGATGAATACTCTATTTTTTTTATGATTTTTACAAAACAAGGTATTAAAATGTTAAACTGATTTGAGGTAATTTTTCCCAACCAAAAGTACTTTTTTATTTGGCATATCAAATACTTCTGAAAACGGAGAATTTTCTAGAGAGCATCTACATGTCTGTCCTTAACATACCATTAAAAGGATCATGCCAATTTAGAAGTATTTTGACCATTATCACCCAATTCCCCATGAACGTTCTAAACTAGAGTGATTTTAAAGAAAATTCATTATCTTTTAATTCTACCGTTGGATGAATCCCAATTTTTGATATGTTATAGAAGACTTGTATACCTTTTCAAAGACCTATCATATACCGTTATAACATAAGATATGGTATCCGAAAGATTAGGGAAATTTTAAACCCTTAAGAACTTTAAGGAAGAAGAGAATGAACATTATTATATAATTTGTGTCACCCTATTATATATACCTTTGGTAATTTTTTTTTAAATTTTTTTTTTTAAATTAAGACATTAAAGAAAGTTGTGAATTACTCATGCCTCAAATTAATATTAATCTCATATAATAAAGAGACACATATGTATCACTTCAAGACTGACACTCTTTTTTTTAAAAGTCTTCTTCATATCCTATGGCTATATGAAAGGAGCATTGTAAATAATTTATTTATGAACAAAATGCCTTACTTTTTAAAGAACTTTTGTTTAAGTTTTAATTCCATCATCGTTCGGAAGAGCAAAATTTCCTTATGCATTTCTTAATAAAGAGACAACTAACTTTTAATTAAGTAAAATATGGCTTTACATGCTTGTATCATTTTATTAATAAAATAAATCTTTCGAGTTATGGTTTATGGCTTACATTTAAATAAGAGGGTAAAATTGAATATTCAATCATGACAGGTTACAAGATGATTTATTTGCCACAGAGAATGATACTTTTAAAGTTTCATTATCTCTGATAGATCGCTTACGTAATCTAACATGATTAAGGTTTCCAATTCACTACCTATCATTTAGATATAAGCCATATGGAATATCCATTTTGCATAAGTCAATTTCATACAATCCAAATACATTTCCTTCGTATTCTTCTCGATTCATACCAAATAAGCCCATACAATCTCTTTTTGGAAGTTGGTCAACCCTAAATAAAGTTGTTAACTGAAACGCATTTTACAAACAAATCATTGTCCTCAAAGAAACTCCTATGGTGTCGCTGATTCTAGTGACTTCCTCTACCTTGATAAATTGACCTCCATCTTGAAAGCAAGATTGCTCAACCTCATTCAAATGACCCTATATGGATCGACCACCCCTCCCAAAAAAAAAAAAAAAAAAAAAAAAAAAAAAAAAAAAAAAATCTTGAAACCTCGTATGAAATTTTTGACCACGTATAAATGGATGTTCGTATGAACTACGTAGGGTTTTTGATTCGGGAGTGGATTCAAATCCCACAATGAACGGTACGTAGGACAACTTTAATGTTCAAACCCACCATATATCGTAAGATTTGTTTTACTTTTATTTTAAATTTGACTGTGATTGACAATGTGGAAACTTTCGTGTTTTTATGCATTAGTTTAAGGAAAAGTATATGAATAACCATAACCAATTAACAACGTACTAGTAAGAGCCTGTTCGTTAGAACAGAGGAAGAGACGAGTTCCAAACGTTCGATCTTCCTAACTTATACCTCGTACCTAGATCTCTAATTTTCCTAAGACCATACTTATATAGTGCCTCATCCAATGGAGTTGATGTCGTTTTCTATTTGAAAACGATCATAAACAAAAAGACCATCTCTATTTGGCAAAAATAGAGTGGCGACTCTATTTTTTTATTAGTCAAATTATCGACTTACGTGGGATTTTGACTTTTAATTTTGGTCAAAAAATGTATACCACACCACCAAAGTGAGATACTAGCAAGAATGCAGTAGTAGCAAAATACCTCTAGTGAAGGAGAGCAAAAGCTGTAGTAGTGAGGGAGGAAGTGACGGAGAAGCAAACACAGTATTAGTGTGAGGGGTATTTTAGGATTAGTATAAGTACCAACGTTAAATGGTACTTAGTGTAGACTATCCTAAAATACATTGTATCTAATATTATAAATTTATAATTGTAGTAGTGTTCATTGTACTCCCTAAATTATTGCTAGGGAAGTTGTTTCGTCTGTGGAGATCCGGACCGTGGTTTTTTCCCTCATTAAGGAGGGGTTTTCCACGTAAAAATCTTGTATGTTGTTTTCTTGTTGTTCTGTATTTTATTATTCTTACCGATTTTGTGTTTATCTGTTGCTCCGTCCCCAACAGACGGATGACGGGTAACCGTAAACAAAGGAATCATAGCGAGCGAGCAAGTAAATTTTTGGCTATGAAAAACTCCTAGGAAATTCGAAATGCCAGGCCGATAACGCCTGATATTTTTAAATTCCCCCGAAGAAGATTAAAAAATTTAGGCTTTTGTTCTAAATGTTTTGGATTTTTGTTCTCAATGCTCAAATTTCTTATAATTGGAAAAGTAACATAGTTGCATATGGGTTTAAGTTTTATCATCAACTCTACAATCTAAATATAAATGTGAATTACTTCACGCCATCAAGGTTGAAGCATATGTGAATTACTTCACGCCATCAAGGTTGAAGCATGTGTAGTATGAGTTGTGCCAAGAATGCCAAATAGTATTGTTTTGGTTGTTAAAGTTCTGTTATTTTTTTTTCTCTGGTTTGTAGATTTATATTACCATTGAAAAAAAAAAAAAAAAAAAAAAAAAAAAAAAAAAAAAAAAAAAAAACCCTGTTTAGTTGGTGGTTTGGAGGATCAGTATTCAATAGGATTTCTACCTATTTCTAAATCAAAAACCATAAAACTAGGAATCATTAATATATACGTAGTATATTCACAAATCACAACTAGCCAATTACAATGTGAGGACCAGGGATCCTTATAAGTTACAATCAGCAAAACATTTTCCATTAATCACCTGTATTTGACAGCAAAAAAATTATTAGTCATGAAGAAGTGACTTCATGATGCCCCTTAAAAAGTGAATTGCAAAGGATACACAACTTGAAGCTCACTCAACTTCCATCACATTATAGGCTGATCCTTGACTTTTTACAATACAATCTTCTGACTGATAATATTGTATTAAGTGTTAAAATTCACTTTCATTACCCAATACTGACAAGACGACAAAACCTCATCTCTGCTCATAACACAATGCCGTGTTGATCAGCTATGCTCATAAGGCCACAAGTATATAAGTACCAATACCAATACTAAGACCAAGCTGTCCTTTCGATTTGTTTTTGCAGGAAAAAACCTACTCCTGTTGATGACCATAGCGACATGTGACTTCCTCCCCTTCTATCAGCTTCTCAACAGCATCTGAAGGAAGACCAATCATCTCTAGACTCTTCTCCCAAACCCTGGTTGAAGTTCCAATGTTGTGTGCTTCTTCTGAAGGATTTGAAGGGCGACAATCCTGGGAAATGAAAGCACAAGTAGGCCATTCATCTGCCTTTAACAGCTCACAGTATTCTGGAATCTGAGGATCAGTTGCAGCAAAAAGGGTACTTCTAGAACCTGCAATTGTAAGAGTACCATTTAATTTCCAGATGGCAGTATTTTTTGTTAAAGAAATATTTTATGAGAAAGAATTAGGTTACTCAGAAATCAGACAAAAAACAAGTTTTTTCAGAAGTCTTCTGGCGTCTTCAGAAGCAAATTTCTTTTCACTTCAAATTTGTCTTCGCATTTACTACTCCGTAGTACATACATACTAATGAAGCTTATAGTCAAAGAACTTGAACTAGATTACAATGGACTACAAATTTAAAATGTGGATACAAAAGATAAGAACAATACTGAGATCAAGAATTTTTTTTTTTTTAAAACACAAGAATTCACTACACTAGTCACTACTATAAAAACTACTCAATTTGTCAAGGTTGATGATACCCTTTATTATTGATTATTCTTAACGATTTGAAGTTCAACCAACCATGGACAAGTGTCACAGTATCTGCAATGACTTGCCAAAAAAGTGAAAATAAGTAGGAGAAAATAGCTGGAAAGGAACCAGAGGCAGTGGGAGGAAGAGGAAATAGAGAGCGAAACAGCAGACAGTAAGCCTAGGCAGCCTACTTCACAAATGACAAAATAGTATTGAATTACAAACTCATAGCCTGAATAACTATGGATTCTGAAGGAGAGAATGAAGGAAGAGCTCCACCGGAGAGAGAGAGAGAAGACATGGAAATACAGGATGAAACAGCAGATAGTAAGCCCATGCAGCCTGCTTCACAACACAGTTTCAAATCACAATATCATAGCAAGAGCCGGGAGACGACAAAGAAATGCCAGCAAGTACAGATTCCGAAGGAAAGAAAGAGATGAGGGAGCAGTGAAGAAGAAAAGGAAATACAGGATGAAACAGCAGATAGTAAGACCAAGCAGCCTGCTTCACAACACAGTTTCAAATCACAATCTCATAGCAAGAGCCAGGAGACGATAAAGAAAAGCCAGCAAGTACAGATTCTGAAGGAAAGAATGCAGGAGCAGAAAATGCCCTTGAGAGAGAAGAGGCGGGTGGGGGGGGGGGGGGTGGGTGGAGCAGAAGCTCTTAAAGTTCTCAGACTTCTCACACGCCATTGACAGCTGGTGCTGGTTGGTGATAAGGAACAGACAAATGACTTAGTGACAGTGATGGCCTGGCAGTGGTGGTCCTGGTGGAGTCCTGAAGGGTGGTAGAGACGGGATTATATTACATAAAACTATTTAAAACCATATCATGTAAGCACTTAACAGTAAAACTAACAGCTTAATTCACTATAGGACAGCTGATTAGGTATTCAAAATTAGAATAATATACTAATATGTTAACTAGAAAAGAAAGACTTAAATATTGTTTCACAAGATAGAATTATCAAGAGCTAAAAGGGTAACATATATAATTTCCCAAAAAACTCCGCATATTCTTGTAGAGCAGCTTGGTGATATTCATACTATTTTAATATCTATCTGGCCCGTTTTATAGCTGGTTATTCTCAACAGTAATTTGAATAAATTTGCGTGCAACTTGACAAGATAGCATCCTAAATTCCATAGTTTTGCAGTCTCATTCCCAACAATTTAGTTATTTGTTTATTTTCCATAAATTTAGTGGTATTGGATGGTGATGAAAATTTGGGAAGAAGAGAAGGGTGAACTAGCATTACCAATTTACCAAGGTCATTGATTTTACTTACAAATCAATATCCAATATTATTCCCAGCACCACCATTTCAGCATGCAAGGTTGGTGACACAACAATGTTACTCGCAAAAGGACAGGCTCAACAGAAAATACAAGTAAAAAGTATGAAAGCCAACCTTCTTCGGGACTAAAAATGAAGTACGGTATCAGATGGTAAGCAGCTTGAACAATTTTGGAAAGATCTCTTGCCTGCAAGAAATCAGCGACTTACACTCCCTTTCTTTGTTTGAAGAGTGACAAAAATAAACAAACACATGGTCAAGCTGAGCTAAGAGTTGAGTTCATGTACTTACAACATTGGTATGAACAATGCCTGGCGAGACACAAACAACATTAATGCCAGATTCTGCTGGTAACCGTTTCTGAAAGATACTGCTAAACATGATCTGAAAGACACAAAACTGAGTCCTTGAGTAGCAATTAATTGTAATACAAATGCATGAAATATTATTTCAACATGCTCCATATAGAAATCCAATAACCTTAGTGTAGACACCCATTTGTGTCTCCCCAAAACCAAACCCGGTGATGAGTACCTTTCGCGTCGAATCATAATCGAATGAAGCGAAAGTGTGGAAAGTTTAGTGTTGCAGATAGTTTTAATTTCTTTTCTCTTCTCTCTGTTTTTGAAAACTTATTTTAAGAAAACAGCCAATCCAGTTAGGTTGGTCCATGATATGGGTCCAATAGTAGTGTAGTTGGATGGGGCTTGACAAGAGCTTTTCAATGATATATTATAATTTATAAGCCCAATTCCGATGAATATTGAGAAAGCTATGGCCAATTTACTAAACTGGGCCCGGTTTGAGCCTTATAAGCGGCCCAATGATCTAGGGGAGGGCCTAATATGATTTATCATTCCTAATGCAATTAGGAATGGTTTTAGTCTTCTAGAATCTTCTAGAAAGTTCTTTTCATTCCTAATTCAATTAGCATTGATAAATTGACTTTTGTTGACTTTTCAAAGTTTTAATTAAAATCAAATAGCATTTTCGAGGAAATTATATGATTTTATCCTCCAGTACGGCAAACTTATCTGATTTTCGAAAACGCGTTAAAAACAGGCTTGGCGCCTGACTCTAGGCATTGGCGCCTGGAACCTGGCGGTAGTGTTGGTGCCTGGCGCCAGTTAGCCAGGGTTTGCGCCAGCTCTGTTTTTTTTGTGCGTCAGACTCTGTTTTGTTTATTTTATCTTTTTGGCTGATTTTCTCTATAAATAACATTCTAAAAACTCCTTTTTCATTCACCAATTCTCACGAATATTCATCTACAATCAGTTTTCATTCGCTAATTCTCATCAAGATTTCCTTAATCAATTCTCTTATTCATCCATCTTTCTCCTTCATTCATCTCTTTCTCTTTTCTAAATTTGTTTTCACATACAAAATTCTGCATTCGCATGATGTAGAAACACCTAGCCATATTCGAAGTTGCCTTCGCCCTAGACGTGAAAGGTTTAATTTCTGAGGGTTTGGTCCCAAATCTCTATTTCAATTATTTAATTTAATTGTTTTGATTATTATTTTCCTTACAGTTACTAACGTATGTATTTTGTTATTAGAAAGTGATACGAGGCATCAAAGTAAGTGTTTTAATGGTTTTTATTGATATTATGATGTAGACATCATGCTTATATTGTTATTATGATATTCCTAGTATCATGTCTAGGGTAATTTTAATATTAAGTATGATTAAAAATATGATGCCTCCTATGTTCTTCCTAATGTTTATGATGGTTAGTATCATTTTAGGGCTAAAGATTTGATTTTTATTGCTTAGTGACATGCTATGGTTTGTTATTAATCTTGTTAGTATCATGCCTAGGATCTTGCTATATTATTATGCTTTAATATTAACATGAACATGATTATGATTATAATTGTTATAATTTATGATGATTATGAATATTATTATTATTATTTTGATGATTATTGCTTTATTTATGACGATTATTATTATGATTATTATTTTTATAATTATTATCTTGATGATGATTATAATTTTATTGTCATGATATTTATTTTATTATTATGTTGCTTGATTATTGATTGTTATTGCTTGATCACGCCTTTTATGCATGTTTAAAGGGAATTTGTACTTGTAATCACGCTTAATAAGATAATTAATAATCTTGTTAGGTTAATTTGATTATAATTCAAGTGATCGCCAATAATAGATTTATTTGTGCATTAAATTCAACCAACATAAATAAACAGGTTTAGAGTTAATCCTATTGATTACATGTTAATTAAAAAGCGCACATGAATACGATCAGAATAAAGTAGAGGCCTATTATTAGGGCAGATTCAATCTCATTTAGCTTGGATTTGTACCTTCATCTCCGAACCCTTATTTGGTTCTAGACCTTATAGAGTTGACGATCTCTTGGATCGTTAAGGGGTGTAACCTTCACCTCGTGAACGGTTTACAAGTTCTTAAAACTTGTTGGCGACTCTTTTGCTCTATCTTCTTCCCTTTTGGACGCCACCGTACTTTAGTGTATGATCACAGTGGGGTTAAAGCTAGGGGTTAACGCTTGAAATCTATTCCCTACACTTAGCTTACATGCTTTTCCTATAAGCCTCAGACCAACTAATTGAACCTTGAATTAAATCCCCACCAGAGTGCAAATAAAAGAAACAGGTGCAACAAAGAGCAATAATATCACAAACCCAACATATAAGGATTACATAAGGGTTTTAGAGTCTAAGCTCTCAATTTTCTTCATCCTGCTAAAAAATTATTGACCAAAACACATAATCTTCTATCAACATATCTTGTAAAAGTTTTATAATTTTGTTAGACATAATTTGAGGAATAAGATGAGAAGTTGTTAGAAATTAATAAGGGAAAAGAAAATCATAATTGTCTAAGATATAGGAAAATACAGTAGGCAAAACTGATCCATACACGACTACTTGAACCAAAATACCCGACCCTATGGTCTGCCCAGTATCATTATTTCTCCCTGGCCCATACCCGACCTGACCCAATAATAAATGTACCCAATAATGATTAATTTATTAATATAAGCTTATTATAATAGAGCAAAAAATGATCTGAACTGACCTAAACTTAAACCCGAACCCAAAATCTGCCCAACGTGTCTAACCTTATAATGAGCCGACCTATATTGTTCCGAACCAAACCCGAATTGAATAACTTGATAGCCACCTCTATAGGAGTAGTGAGAAAGAAGGGTAAGATGAATATTAATGAGAGTTTATTTTAGTAGTTTTGCTTTTTAGGGGAGACCAATCCTCTCAAAAGCTTGTATTTTATCAGTAGTATCAGTTGTTATACTAAGGCAAAGCCATTGTTAATTTTATGACTAACATTTTTCAGAATAATGTCTACTATCAACTTTGTGTCTACAACGATGAAAATGAATAAATAAGCAACAAGACCGATACTTCACTGACGTCTGAACATGAAATTGTCTCCAACATTGTCAACAATAAGACACAAAAGGTGAATATCAACAGCAAATATGATAACTGCCGACTCACGAATTTATATATATATATATATATATATATATATATATATATATATATATATATATATATATAAAGTAAATGCAAATAAGAGTTTAAGTAAACCTGAGCAAGTTTGCTGCTTGAGTATCCCACCAAACTTGTAAATTTTCTCTTTCCGGTAACAACATTCAAATCTTCAGGGTCAACAAAACCAACAGAATGCATCTACAAGAACAAATTGCAAAACATAAGTCAGGGAAAGCACTCGTACACCTCTCCAGCAAAACTTATGAGGATAGCAGCTCCAACAGGTGAAACACAGGTCCATGGGTCATAAAATCCTCAATGAGACTATTCAATCAATATGGTTACAGATGGCGAAGAAAAGATTCAGAGTGTGTTTATTCACCTAATTTTTCATTATCCAAATTTATCTTATCTTAATTAAACTTATTTTAACTCCGGAACTTATTAGACCTTATCAGAACTTATTTAAGTTGGGATTTGAACTTGGGTAACCCTCATCAACCCTTATTAGAAAATTTTCCCGAACTTATCTGAAGTGAATGAGATGAATAGAACAGACCCTTAATTAGTTGCCCAAATAAGTAAACTTACCAAAACTACAGTTCTCATCTACAATTTAAAATGCCGCTCTCTATTAAAGCACGGTTTACTACTATAATAACAGAAAAATATGACAACATGCATGACAAATATTCCCAAAAGCCTATGTGTTTAGTGTAATTAGACCAATTAAGAGTAATGAACTGATTCAATAACACTTTGCATGATGGACCAATTAGTTTTTAAGAAATTAGGTAGTGGGTATTCTTTATGGTTTTCCAATTGAGGTGAGAGAAAGTGGGACCATAATGCTATAAGGGAGTAGAGATGAGGAGGAATTGGAAAACATTATCAAATCATGTGAACCCAATTCAAAGGAAAAATGGAAAGTTCTTTGTGCGTTTTTTTTTTTTTGGAAGGGAAGTTCTTTGTGCCTTTGTGGGATGGAGATAGTATCAATTTATAGAATATCAAAAGCATAGAAATTGAGGCAATCTTATTAAATCTCAATATAATTCATCTCTAAACTAATTTCAAGACCGAAGGTGCAGTCAATCATGTGTAGTTCCAGAAGATGCAGTATGCAATCATGTTCTAATTTTTTACCCACAATTATTGTCTGATGGACTCAGGGCAAATCCAACAATCAATCATAGCCTGATATATACTCATTATCCAGACAAAAGTATCAAAGATATCTTAAAACTTACCACGGAATTCACATTGATTATGCGACTTGGAGAGCCTCTAATAAGGGAAGGCAAAAGCAACACCGATAGCATTGCTGGGGCCAAGTGATTCACTTGCATGTGTTCTTCATTACCATCCTTTGAAAATTTTTGTGGCTCTGTATCAACAAAAAATATTCCCCATAAAAAGAAGAATGAACTGAACTGCGTGATTTAAAGCATCAAGTACAGAAATACAATCAAAATTAATTTAAAAAAGAAGTCAGAGGCAAATACGTTATAAAGGACACCCAAAATTAATGACTTGACATATTTTCTTGAGAAACAAGCAATTAGTAATAGTATAACAATAGCAGCTTCCATTAGCACCCTCAAGCAATTCTATATATGTAGTGGCAAATAAGTTATAAAGGACACCCAAAACTAATGACTTGATAGGCAAAACAAATCACATGATCCCACAATTATGAGCATTACTAATAATCTTCTCATTTAGCATCTTGTCTAGAAAAAAAAGCAATAAATAATAGTATAGAAATAACAGCTTCCATTAATACGCTCAAGCAATTCTATTATGTAGTGGCAATGTCAAAGGACTCAAAACCATATCAAAATTCTGTTCATTGGTGAAACATAGAGAACTGTCAGTTAAACTTTTTTTCTTCTAGCCCATTACTCAAATAAGCACTACATCAGTTACATGTCCTTTAATATATCAGTTTTTTCTTTTTTGACAATTTCGTGTTTTAAAGGAACTTCTTGATTCATTATTACTGAAAGCCGGTTTGGTATAGTGGTGTCCAGTGACTGTTGGCTGCTAAACCTCCTGCTGTTGTGGCTGAAACGAACATATATGTATTGTATAATGGTTCCTTGTGCTGGAGAATATAGAAAAATCTCTCACAAGTTCTCAGTGAATAATGATGTTGTCCAGAAAATCAAGGGCTTTGTAGCATTTGTTTAACAGTTGAGTTCAAAAAAGGCAGACTGCACTGGGCCAATGCTCCCTATAGGCTTTTCAAGTTCCTTGAACTGGAGCTCGAAAAGCAAATAAAAAAATTAAAAAGAAAAAAAAAATGTCACAGCCAAAGGGAAAATCAACTGAAAACACTGGAAAGTAGAGCCAGGTTGGATGTCTTTAGATGGGTGGAACTCCAGACTTCTCACAAGAATGATCTAGGATAAACTGATCTTTAGTGTTACTTTGAACTTGAGTGAACAAGGTGTTTTCAGTAATATTCATTGGTTGTAACGCAAGGATGCCTTCCTCTGCCACAACACACATCTCAAGCGATTGCACTTTTTCATTATAGAAGAATTGTATTAACCTTACCAACTTAGTCTTCACACTAAAGTCACAATATTTTAAGTGACAAATATGATGATAAATTGTTATTTTGGATTAAGGCTTTGATTAATTAATTAGTGGCTGCCAAATTGCCAACTAGTTAAGTTAATTAAAGTCTAAGGGCATGGTATCTGTTTGGATTCCCTTTCTGAAGGAGTGGTAGGACCCACCTATTCAAGAAAATTACTAATATACTCTTGCTACAAATCTCTGGCTATACCTCAAACTGACAGAGCCCATTTAAGGGCCAACTCCACTTGATTCCATACCCTACAATTACCCATTATAATGGGAAATACCCCCACAGTTTCCTATGCATAATCAATTGTTGCATCATATTCAGATATCAAAAACTGGAGAATCGGATTCTCTCTACAGACCATTTCAGCGTCGAAGAGGGTTTCTCAGAACAGCCCCAAGGTAGCTCACTCTTCACTTTAGCAGGACTTGGTTCGACATTTCGACCCCCTAGATGGGTACCCCAGCCACATTTTTCGAGTGTTTCTTCTCAGAAATAATACCCATATAATCCCATCTATGTTATATGCGCTCTCACTGCACTAAGAAAAATAAAATTGTTATTCTATTTATAAGATGTGATAGGAAATAGTTGGGTTTTTTTTTAATTGAAAAAGTAAATATGATAGAAGATACGAGGATTTCTTTTACTAAATGTGAGAGTGTAGGGCCTTATCTTTTAATGGTGGGAGTGAGATTTATTATATTAAAAGTGAGACATTTCCAAAAGTAAAGTGTAAAAACTAATTAAGGATACATGAGAAGGAAAGTGCAAAAACTTATTTGGGATAACTGAAGTAATACAAGAAAAATGAGAATGGTGATCCAACCATAAGAAAAGTTCTCCGTATAGAAGGAAAATGCAAAAAATTATTTGGGATGAAAGAAGTAATTCAAGACAAAAGAGAATGGTGATACAACCATACAAAAAGTTCTCCATATACAAGAAGGTTGCTTTCCTCGAAAAAATACACGGAAACAGATGCAGAAAAGCAAGTAGATGAACAAAATCATAGAAAAAAGCATGACAAATCTCAATGGAAAGGATATAATGAGGAAACAAACCTCCAATGGAGAATATTCCAGCATTGTTTATTAGTACATGTAAAGGTCCTGATCGTGCATTCCATGATTCTGCAAATTGTGCAACAGAGTCCAAAGACAGCAAATCAAGTTCCATAACCTACAGAGGAAAGATTAAAAAGATATCTTTCAGGAACAAAGTAGTGTTGGATGTATATTGAGACTCCTATGGTTTTTCTTCCCCGTTCATAGGGAATTAAAAAAAAAAAAAAAAAAAAAAAAAAAAAAAAAGGCATGTTTTATTGTTACTTACAAGTTAAGATCACGGTACATGCTAAGGATCAATATACTACCTCCGTTTTTTTTTAGCTGACATGTTTTGACTTTAGCACTATTCACACTCTATTGACCGTATTTTGTGATTTATACATTATATAAAATACAGTCATGTGGGGTCTTGTTAGATTCGTTACGGTATATATTTTCTAAATATCAAATTTTTATAATTTTTGCTTATCAGTAACCAAAGATATCAACGTTTGGATTTGTGACTATAGAAACGTGTCAACTAAAAAGAAACAGAAGAAGTAATCATTTAACACATATTCAGCAACAACAACAAAATATTTTCTTTTTTCAATAAGGAAAACTATGAGAAAGAATTACACTTCGCAATGTCTCGCAACAAAATGGGTCGCCAACTCTGTTTAATAAAATAAATGAGGTAACAAAAACAAGAAACATCTAAGACAAATCTGACAAGTTCTTGGTACCTCAATATTTAAAGGAAGGCCTTTCCCAGACCAATCAATTTGCCATTTTTGGATCAGCTCATGCGCAGCTTTAGGATTCCTTACAGCCATGACGACATGTGCACCAGCCTCTGCCAGTTGCCTATATAATTTTAACAAAACAATCACATAACAAGGGGTAAGAAAGTGATTTATAGCTCATTTATTAACTCATTCATATAGTATAAGAACAGATGTTCAAAGTACTGTCTAGAATCAAACAAATCCAATATGAATGACTATCTAACACCAAATATCACCAATAATAGAAGATTTCCACAGTCTCACCTCCATCACTTAACTCTTCATTGCCATTTCCCTTCCATCCGTGTCATCTTACCACAAATATGTTGCATACAATTGAAACAAAAGGATATTACTTATAGCATAGGACTAGGGGACTCAAACAGTGAATTAGTCATAGCATTTATACCTCATTGTCTTAGAGAACAATTCCTTACAACAAGAAAAGCAACCTTATTCATAATCCTACCACATTGCAACTTTCTTATGTACTTGCTAAAGTGGAAGCACTATGTGTTGAAATTATGCACAGCTAAGAGTAATACTTCCTCTGTAAGAAATGTCAAAATGGAAAGTGTTGCAAGTAATTAAAAATTTCCAAAATTGGAAAGTGTTGCAACTAAAAAGAAAAGCAGGAAGTATATTTGATGTCTAGTTCATAGAACTAGCACATCTTCCAAAGGATATACACCTAGAAACCAGGTAAATAACCACAAAAAAGCCAACAGTTGAAGCATAGTAGATATCCAGGTTTTGCTTAAATCAATGTCAGTATGCAATAACCACAAGTCCACAAGTACAAGCATAGTAACCATCATAATTGTGAACAAAAGACTTGATTTTATAACATACAACATAAGACAGCACCAAGTAGCCATCAGTAATAAATTAAGGACTTAATTTTATACTATACAGCATAAAACAGCACCAAATACAGCATAAATTTCACTTCAACAAACCTAAATAAAATCACACCCCGAAATAAAACCCAACAACCGAAATCTCCGAAACCCAAAGTTACAACAATTGAATTCGTAATAAGAAAGAAAATCACATAATAAAAACATAAAAAAAAAGAAACCTGGCAATTTCCCGACCGATGCCACTGGTGGATCCAGTAACAATGCAAGTAAGATTTTCAATGGGAGGCAAAGGCATAGGATTTTGAAGATGACTAGCAGAAATACGCTGAAATAGCATCTCAAAAATCACATCATACCACCCTTTAAACCATTCTATCCATCCTAATCCCTTCTTCACTTTTCCATTTCCAGCATTATCATTTTTACCATTCTTCAGTTGTTGCTTCTCTGCATTCTCAGGCCCGTCAGAAGAACTTTCCAATTTCATATTTCTGTCCTAACATCCAAGGGTTTTGCAACATATTAGCAACAAAATTTGACTCAATTATCATATTAAATTCTTCTCACTATATAGCATATTCCAGCATTTTGGTAATTAAATTATAAGTTTATAACCAACCTTTATTAAATAAGTGACTTGATTTTAAAGGGCGCACAAAGGCAGAAAAGTCCTTGGAGCCAAGGCGCAAGGCACGCGCATTTTGTAGGTGAGGTGCACTTTATTTACTACCTCCGTTTCTTATTATGTGCAAAAAAAGGTATTATTTGTGAGACACAAAATATTTCTTCATAATAAGAAACGGAGTAGTATATATCATAAAATTAGGAATTTCTATTAAATAAGTCTAAAAACAGAATTTTAGAAATAATAAAATGGATGGATCAGAGGACCAACTAACATAACTATATCTATCTTTGTACGACTTTCTTTATGAGGGAGAAGATAAAAAATATAGATAAATAGATCTTCATAGATGTATAATGATATTTCCATTTTTAGACTAGAAATCGGTCTTTTTCTACGTAAGGACATGGAAATATTACTATTTTTAATAACTGTTTTTGTTATTGAGTGACAAGATAAAAATAGGGGTAAATTAAAAAAAAATAAAAATATTGGGTCCCACAAGTTCAACATTCTATAAGTTGCATATGTAGGGTATGTTTTACATGAGCTGAAATCTACTTAATCTGGCCGGACGTTCAAAGTATCAAGAGTTCATAGATCTTTAGTCCTGATTTCCACATTTGTGCTTGATAATTACATGAAAATACATGCAAAATAAAATACTTTCAACTTAATTTTAAAGTCTAATACAAGTACTAGGTTTGTCATAGTCCAATAATCGATTAATTTGAATATATTATGTCTTAGACATGTCAATATGGCTACTATTCTGAATTATCTTTTTCTATCATCCTCTCTCACAGGTTTAAAAACTAAAATTGATTAACTGATTACGAAAAACCATTCTAGCCTCCAGAGAATAGAGTCATCTACTTCAACCTTCCATCTTATATATGTACTACACTACTACGCATTCCATTCAAACATTGTTCCTTGATTTCGAGTGCGCCCTTTGTTTAGGAGCTACCTTCATTAGATTTTGCTAAATGGTTGTAATTCTCTCATTCGAATCACTCGGAAAAATATGAACAAGGACTTCATGATATTGGTAAATGGTTGTAATTCTCTCATTCAAATCACTTGAAAAAATATGAACAAAGATTCCTTCATGATATTTTGCTGAATGATGAACTATTGAGAACAAAATTAAAATCGAATTTGACTAAATTCAGTACAGTTTCGAATCTCTTTCATTTTATCTATAATCGCCTTTAATTAAAGAATAGATCCTTGCAACACATTAGCAACAAAAATTGACACAATCATCAAACTAGGCTAAAAAATACATTAAATTTCTATAGTATTATTATTATTAAACACCAATAGTTCAACAATCCAACTTAGAAGAACCCTAAAATGACAATCAAATTAACGATCAACAGTTGAATTGATATTCGATGATTAATTGAAAAAAAAAAATGTCACCTGAGAAGCTGCTTCAATGGAGAATTCAAGTGCGCTTCAATGGAGGAGGGAGAGAGAGGAATGCAGCGAGGCAGCGCCAACGTGGAATCTTAGTTGAGAGTGGTTGCGGACCAAGCAGGTGAGGAACACTGGAGTACAGTCTGTCGATTTTTAGTTTTTTACCCATTTAAAAAAAAAAAAAAAAGTTTTACTAGTTCAGTAAAAATCAATAACTTCATACTCCATCCGCGTTTTTTTTGAAGTATTACACTTTTCATTTCCGGCCGTATTTTTTTAAATATTACACTTCTTTTTTTGGCAAAAAGTTACATTAAAATATTATATTTCTCCTATCATGATCTCCACCCAAACCCACAACTACTTTTTTATTATATATTTCCTCTCACATTCATTACTTTTCAATAAACTATTAACCTCATTATCTTTCTTTTACAATTTTTTAATACTCCGACTACCCCACTTAATTCTTATTTTATTTAAGCCAATTAAATTGCCTAAAACTATGTGTCGGTCAAACTGTAACACTTAAAAAAAACACGGAGGGAGTACAAGATTTGTAACAGAGTTCAGTAAAAAATTATTTTAGTTCATCAAAAATAATTTTGTTCACTAAAATTAATTTCACGATTGCTCATTTGGTAGCTCGATGGAAACCAATGTTAATTGCGAACGTATTTGTATAGATGATTTTCCCCGTAGCTTCCAATCTTTAGCGAATACCAATAATCAATAACTTTAATACTAAAACAGATACCAGGATTGACACGTGTCAGCACTTGGTGCTGTTTTTTCTCTCCAAAACTTCCCCTTCCTTTTTAATCTTTTTTAGATATTTGATACAAATATTATTCCATATTTTTTATATAATCTTTATGACAAATATATTCTTTTGTTATGTGGTGTTCATAATTCTTTCATAAACATTTACCTAAAATATTATTCCAACTTATTATTGATCATCTTTTAAAAGGAGTATTATTGAATTTGCCAAAAAAGTAACAATAAATTAGATTTTTCTAAAACATTATTTCAATTCATTTTTAAGTATCTTTCCAATAACTTGAAACGAGTCTTTTTTTGGGCAATGCATAACCGACCCATGATCACTTTTAGTAGTAACACAAGATTTTGAGACCTTTTACTTAAGGGAGAAATTAAATAAGATATTATTTATCTAAAATCTTCGAAAATATGGTGGAGAGTATAAAATAATGGAGCCAGAAGTAATATTAACATTATAATTAATGAATTATCATTATAGTTGTACAATAGATGGGTTCATTAGAAAATAATAACAATTAAATATAAAAAAAATCTATTCTTGGTATATTGATTTGAAATCTTATGAAACAATACTAACTGAGTTAATTTACTGTTAAATATTTTTTGGAATTTTTTCAACTTATAATTCTTTTTTAATGATTTTCTTCCAAAAAAAAATGATAGAGACATTATCAATTTACCTAAGTGATTTTTTTTTTAAACCTCCTAAGTGAAATATGAGATAAAAATTTAATGAAAAAAGTAAATAGAAAATAGGAGAAAGAATATTTAGATTTCCTCATTAATGTGCAAGCTCTAGAGATGTTCAAATTGCCAAACGTTTTTATTTTATTTTTATCTAAAACTAACATAAGATTATATATTAAAAATTTTACTTTGCCTTTTAATACTATAGATTATGACACTATAATTTCTATATATTTTTTGATGTGTATGTTTTATCAAATTTTATTTGTTAGGCATAATTAATTAATTTTAAAAATTAAATTGGAACTAATGTGCATGACACGGGTCTTAAGCTAGTTCATTTAATATAATTCTCATTCCCTGTTTTTCAAAAAAAAAAAAAAAAAAGTTCAGCAAAATAATGTGAAGTGAACCGGGCCTAATTAGGGCCTAGTTTTCAGTTTGTTTAAGAAATTCTCATTGAAATTAATCAAAAAAAATAAAATTGTCCCAATGTAATCGTTCGACCAATAATATTAACTATTGAACAAAGTATATGGAAAAAAAATAATCAAATTAAATCTTATTAGATTCGTCTTATCGTGTATTTTTAAAATACGTAACCGCTCATAAATTTTGTTAGTACACATTTAGTGATAATTAGCAATTAGTGAACGAGAATTTAAAATTCTAATATGAATATTTCTGGTCTGATTTGAAGTTCAATACAAATCACACAATTATATATATCCAAAATTAGGTTCCTCAACAATAGAACAATAGGAAAAAGTCAATTACTAAGATTTATTTTGTCAATTCTATTTTAAATTGTTATTTTTTTTAATTATGAGCAAGATTACTTAAAAAGACTACAAATTTAAGATCTCAATCTCTCTTTCCTATTCTTTCCCTTAGTTGATCCCAACATTTTTTGTCTTTAATTTTCAATTTTCATAATTAAGCAACCATTTGAAAGCAAATTAACCGTGATGGGTTTTGCGCAAACTTTTTTCAAAAAGAAAAGGGGGACCAACAATAATCCTGGAGATGCAAATTCTAGCCATGAAAATCCTTTATTTGAACCTTTCTCATCATCATTTCGCTCACAAAATACAAATATTGAGGAGCTTGAACATGTTTTTAAGAAATTTGATGTAAATGGTGATGGAAAGATTTCTTCGTCGGAATTAGGATCTATCATGGGAAGCCTAGGCCAACAAGTGACCGAGGAAGACTTGCAAACAATGATCAAAGAAGTTGATGCGGATGGTGATGGATTCATTGATTTCAATGAATTTGTTACTCTTAATACAAAAGGCATAGATTCAGATGAAGTTCTATTTAATTTAAAGGAGGCATTTTCTATATATGATGCCGACGGAAATGGGAAAATTACAGTTGAGGAGTTGCAAATGGTGATGAAGAGTTTAGGGGATGATTTTTCTCTAAGTGAGTGTAAAAGAATGATTAATGGTGTTGATAAAGATGGAGATGGAACCATTAATTTTGAGGAATTCAAAGATATGATGATGATGGGTGCACGTCTTAATACAATGACTATAGATTAGTACATATAAAAAAAAAAAAAGACATCAAATTATTCACCTTTGAAATAGATCAGTTAGATAAGATATATGTTTTCTTGTATTAGCCCTTAGTTTAACAACCAAACTTTTATAACATTGATTTTTTTTTCTTTCAAATAATTACGTTCAAATGATTATAACATGTGATGAATAGAGTTTTTGTAATTAAGAAGTATATGAAATATAATATTTTATGATACAAATCATTTTGAGTATTCCTTTAGTCATGCATAACATATTATTTCTTGTAATTAATACTCTTTTTTTAATTTATATGTGAATTGGTTTTTTATATGTAATTAATTTAATCTTTTATAATCTACGTGCAATTTATATTTAACGAAATTGCAATGTTTTTTAGTGTGAATAAAATAACATATACCTATAATAAAAATGACTTTGTTTTAGGAAAAATATGTTGTTTGTTACAAACATATCATTAATCTGAAAGTATTGAATATTAGTGTAATGACTATAGGGAAACAATAACATCGATCAATGTACTTATTTCATTTCTTTCGCAATGTTCAAGGAAGTCTTTTGAATTTTCATAAATATCAATTTTTTTTTACTTTCTTTATAATTAAGGCAAAATTACAATCATTGACACCAACTATGTGAAGTATTGCAATTATTGACACCAACTTATATCTATTGCTAAATTGACACAAACTTGCTATAAAAATTACAAAATTGTCATAAATGACACTAAACTACTAAGTTTACGTAACTTTTAACCCTTAAATAAGTATAGAATTCCTTTTCAATAATCATTTGCTTCAAAAAGTTCTTGATGTATTAGAAAGATAAGATTATATAAATGTCATATGTAGAGCGTTATTGAATGTTTTGTGCCTTTAATGTCAATTTTATTCGTTTTAGGCAAGTTGGTGTCAATCTAACAAGTGACACAAGTTTGTGTCAATATTTGCAATATATTCTTAACTTGGTGTCAATGAGTGCATTTTTTCCTATAATTAATTGTATACAATTTTACATTGAAACATTAAAGGGCTATAATTTTGTGCATTTATAGTATCTAATTAATGTTTTCACGAGATCCTCTAATAACCATCCATGACCATAATTTCAAGCTTCTTTCCTACATGGTACATTCTCACTATCCCAATCCTCTGCATTAATAATAATATGCTAAGTCAAATATTAACGTACATTTACATTTACATCTTTCCACCAAAAGTCATTCCACCTTATTTCGTTCCCATAACTACTTAAGCATAAACTGCTCACAAAACTGCATTCATACAAATTAACTCAAGCTTCTATCCAGCACCAATCCAAGAGATAATTAACTATAAATGGGTTGCCAAGCCCATTGTAGTTTGAGCTTAATGTTTCCATTGTCCTTCATGTGCTTGATCAAAATCAACCTCTTTTACTTTACTTTTATTTGGTTTAAACATTTAGGTTTACACAAGAGCTCTGTAGTCGTTTCATCTCCTTCACTCTCTCCTCACTATGTCATCTCCATCCGCCCGATTTTTCCTTTTTTCCTTTTTTCACCACCAACCAAACTAGTATTTAAATCTACATTGTCATCTAGGTTCTCTCTACTATGCAGTTTTGCATAGAGAGAGTAGGAGTATCTACCCCTATAGACAGGGAAAGGATTGCCACATCAAACTTACATTATCTAGTTCAGTGTCCCCAACCCCTATATAATATATAATAAGGTGCTTCACCTTTCTTCCTAAGAGCTTCTTCCTCGGGTGGATATTCCTTCCCCCATACCTCCTTCTCCATGTCCACATTTTCCATCCCCCATTTCCAGCCTCATGAATTCCCTCATTATATTCCTTCTTTAGCTATGCTTTCTTGTGCTCTTTTTAGCGGATGATAAAGTTGACTTTGTTAAATTGTTTACCATGTGATGAAGAATAGTTTTCTCGGCGCATGGAGATCTTAATAAATTTCTTCGTGCATTCAACCTTTCTTTAGAGAGGCTTTAAACCACATTCCCCACCCTAAATCCCTAATCATTGGCCTATATGCTCCTCAAGTTCGTGTATACATTCCTTTCCACTATGCCCCATTATCCCACACATGAAGCAAAAGATTGGGAGTCCTCATTTTTTTTGAATTGGATTGTTATAACGTTCTCACCTCTATTTTTCACATTTTGTGTATAAGAGTTTGTTAGCATCCAACATCGCCTTCATTCAACTAATTTGGTTAATATCACAAAAAAAAACTTTCTCTCACTAAAAGAGAGCTTATCTCTCTAGGAAACCAGAGCCCCTTTCCCAATACCTTCACCGTCTTCTGCCATCAAATTCAAAATAAAAAAAAAATCTCGTTTTAGAATCAAGGTTAGTGGAATCTTTGTAGACTCATGTTCTTTAGCCGTTAGATTTCTTACTTGAATCGAAATTCATGATTTACGTTTACAATTTCCCTATTGCCATCTTTCCCCTTTTCAATTAAAATGTCAGAACCTCAATTGGCCGACAATCGAAGCTAGAATTCGTCGGATTATAAATCCCAAGATTCCTTTACCTTCATCTAGTTCTTGGCAGATTTGTGAACTATCGTCAATTTTCTGTGAATCGAATGCAAGGTTGGGTTTCAAACCAGTGGTTAAAATTTGGGGAAATCATAGTCCAGAAGTTCAAATAAAACCTTTCTGTTTCTATCTGAAGATGCCCGAGATAGAGATGCTATGTTGGAGCAGGGTCGATGGCATACCAAGTTGCTCTCCTAGTTTTTCAATCTTGGACTCCAAGTAACTCAATTAGGGATATAAGTTTTGACAAGGCTGATATACGGGTACATCTTGATGATGTGCCTTTGAACTTATGCAATATATATGTTGTTAAACCAATGCTTCCTTTGGTTGGGAACATTTTGTGTACTGATGGTCCTCTACCAGGTTTGATTAGATATGTGATAAGAGTAGTACTCCAAATTCATATTTTTGAACCGTTGTTACCGGGTATCTATTTGGACATTGGAAACTTCGAGTTTAAGAGGATTAATATTAGATATGAGAACTTCTTTATTTTGTGCTCCGAGTGTAATAAGGTTGGTCATAAACAGAATATTTGTTCTTTTCCTCCTTTTATGCCTAGTTATGTGGTTGATAACTTTGGGTCGTGTAAGTCTAGTTTTCGTCTTGCCCATAATCTCTCCAACTCAAATATTGGCCTGAGAAGAACTGAAAAATTCAAAACAACTAAAGTGAATCTCCGAAGTTTTTTCAAAAAATTTGTCCTACCCCAATCCCAAAAATGCCAACCAAACAAAAGACCTCTTATGCTTGCTATAGTACACCATCCCTTCTTCCTTTGAAAAAAATATGAATATACACTCAAACCCACTCGAACATATTAACCTTGCTCCAAAAGAACCCAACCACAAACCAACCCATTCTACTTTCTTAACCCATAAAACACTTTTTCCCAACCCAAACCATCTTTACCTTGGCTCATCTTTGCATCCAAAAAAAGAAGAGAGAATTTGATAAGAGGAATTTCAATTTTCATTCTAAGCATAAGTCTTACCCATCACCCATCACCTCACTTCTTCCATCTCCTTTAACTCATCTAATCTTGGGTAGCAAAATAGCCAAATAGACTATTGTGCCCCTCTCTTGAAAAGATCAAATCCTTTCAAGCAATCAAAACCTCCTTTTAAGAGAACTATTTCTAAAGCCAAAATCACTTTCTCATTCCTCAAGATTGGAAGTGTCTCTAGTTTCTATTTGCCTAGGATGTTGTTTGGGAATGGGAGAACGAAGAGGAAAAAATGAAGAGTGAATTTTTATGAATGTTTTCGACACAAATGTGTATGATGAATTGAGAGCTAGTATGTTGTTCGACTGGTTCTACCGTTTTCCTTTGACAGAGCGAACGAATCATGCTACTGCAAAATTCTCTTATGTTTCTTCTGTTACCTCTAACGACTTTGTTGAAGGGTTGGTGGATCCCCTTATTGGGCCACCCGATGTGAGATGAAGAACCACCCGGTGTGAGATGAAGTTTGTATCATAAAGCTGTAGGCCGGGGTCTTAAGTAGGCAGACTCACCTAAAGTTTCGTATATTAACTCTTTATTAGTCCGCTCATGTGGTTATGTTTTTTAAGAAAACCATGGTATCTGTAGATATTGCTGAAAAAAAGTTGTCTGGTGTTCCTTTTTCAAGATTTTGTGGTACAGATGAAGTTGATTTGAGTGGTGGTTTGTTTTTGTAGTGGCTTTCCCCACATTAGATAGTTCCTATTTTGATTACTTCAAATTTCATCTTCTGTGAAATTCTTGTGGTTCTATAATAAAATATGTGGTGTTTGTGTATAGAGGGCCCCATGTCATTGATTGACCTTAAATTTGGTCTGCCCTTTCAGATATTTTGTGTTTAAATTTAAACTTAGTTTTACTAGGGGATTTTAACCAGGTGGAATATGAATATTTAATGGATAATGTGGGTGGCTCTATTTCTATACCCGGTCGTCATGAATTCATGGACTGGCACCTACTTTTATACATGGTTGTCATGAATTCATGGACTGACAATTACGTCGGGTTTATTGGCAGTTTTCAGGGCCAGAGTTTACTTAGACAAATAATCGGTTTGATCTTGACTTAACTTTTGAGTGCCTAGATAAGGCTTATGCAACTTCTTCTTGGATTCAAGAGTATCTGGATACAGTTGTAATTCACCATCCTATTTTATTCTCGGATCATGCTGCTATTATTATTTTTTATTCAACTGAACATAATAGAATTCATCGACCGTATAGTATAGAAAATCGGTGTTTATCGGCAAAGGACGTACACTCTATAGTTTCAATGGTCGTCGGAGGTTCTCCAATGATTTCTTTAGAGAACGTCGAGAACGTCTGTTAGTTTGGTGCACCTCTCATAAACGATTATGAGGTATTTATTGGAAGGATTTAGCTGTGTCGATTGCTAAGATTGCCTCTATTTTGCTTATTCAAGTTAGTGGATGCCTTTTTCTCACTAGGAGGGAGGAAAAGGTTGTAGAGGCTCAGGCTGCTTTTATGTTTTTGCGTCAGTGTGCGAAGATTTGTATATCGTACATGATTCCTCTCCGGCA